CATTGAGAATGTATTTTGAGCATGTGTGTAGATATGGAAAAATAACACACAAAGTAATCATATCCAAAAAATGTCTCTGGCAAAGAAAGATTAATAAGAAGACTACAGCAACAATAAGTTGAAAATACATTCTCTTCTTTCAAAGACTAGAAAAAAACAAAAGACTTGTTCCTCTTCTTACAAGGCCTCTCATAAGGTCTGTAAGATTTATCTGAAAGGTAGAAGAAGTCCTAAGACATAATAGGGCATAAAAGATGTTCATTTTATACATACCACAAAGGGCCTTTCAGTATCTGTACCTGGTGTTTTACTGCCTGTAGCCTGCTGTATTTTGTGTGCTTCCCTCAACTATACCATGCCACATGTCAGCTGCAAAGGTCTAATTTTTTTACAATAAACTGAAAACCAAAGGAGAATATTTAATAATGTTTCAGCGTGCAAGAGAACATAATGCATTGTCTCAAAGCCAGCAACTGTCACCTCCCCACTCGTAGATACCCAAGTCAAATTTAACACCTAAATAAGACACAAAGGTAATGCTTATTATCTCATTTGTTTCTGATATAACATTTTAATCACTAAAATGTAGTAAATTATTTGAAAGATATTTGGTGGAAATATTCTTTTCCTTGGTATTAACACAGCGAAACAGATATCACAAGAGCACGATTTACTGTTTTCAACAGCTACGCATACATAATTACAAGGCAAGAGACCAGTTTGATATGCACATAACAGGAACAAAAAATAATGAGAAGTTTAACTGTTAATGACAGTAGTGTAGAGGGCAACACATTATTTCTCCTTGCACAGAACAAGAAAAAAAAAGGTGTTTTGAAACAATCTTTTCCCCTTGAAGTCTTGAAGTATAACACTGCTCAACACATTTAAGCCACCTTCACATTTAGATTAACTCCTTTTGTCAGCACACTAGTTTCACGGTATGAAGTGATACCAGATGTTCTAGTTTTAAATGCCTCGCTAGAGTATACTTACCGTGACACTTAGTAGATGCTGAGTGCACCAATGTAGTCTTAGAAATCATTTAAAGTTTGTGCTCTGTTAGCAACTATACCTGCTAGCCATTGACAAGACACACTGCAGCTTTAATCCTCAGACCACCGTGATACTACTTCACCTGTTTCAGGTTAAGAAATCTCAAAGGGGATAGTGTCTATATTTAAGAATGAAATCAATAGCAAGAATAAGAGTTTACAATTTAAAAAAACAAATGTCTCTTCCTTGCTGGAAGAAACCACTCACAGATCCAGAACTGAAGGAACCCTAGGTTAGCAAAACAACAAAAAAAGAAAAACCAACAAATGGATTTTTTTTATTTTGCTTTAAATAGAAACATGCCAGAGTAAAGAGAGGCATAAAGAACACAGAAAACAGATAATATTCTTGGCACACTTCATTCGACTCTTTACCACTCTGATTTGTACCACTGTTACTCTGGTAACAGACAAAGCTAACTCATAAAATCCAGCAGGTCAGACACTGTGGGACATTTGCCATAGAGTGCTATTAACTGTCCT